AGTTGCACCCACAATCTGCAACGGCGAACCAAGGATTAAACCCAGGAGTCCAGGCCTCCAGCTTCTTCACAACATGGTCCCACCTCTGCACGTGGCTAAAGCCACAAACCGGGGTGCCAGCCGGCCTGGCAACAGCATACCTGCCCTGCTGTCTTTCCAGCCCAGCTGCCTGCCTCCTACTTCCCCACGATTAATGTTGCCAGTCAGGTCGCCCTGCTCCTGCTGCCAGAAGCTCTGGTGGTGGGCTCTGCCTGACCCCACCCTTCACTTACTGCATCTCTTGCTCACTGCCCTCCCAACCCCAAGCTAGCACCTGGCTGTTGCTCTGCCAGAAAAATTCTTCCAGTTGGGCTGCCTCTTCCCTGCAGGCCTCCAGGCCCTGCACTGGCCTCAGGTCCAGGCTCCCCACCTCCTACCTGAATAGTGGTTATTCACTGTTTGTCCCCACCCTCTGCCCCAGAGTGTAGGTTCCCAGGGCACAATGGTGAAGCTGGTGTCCCCTGTGACTGGAATAGTGCGTGGCACCTACAGGGCAGCAGAGAGCATGAAGGGAGGGAGGCCGAAGGAATGAAGGGGGAGGGGCTCCCAGCCCCGGAGGGACCTTCCTTGAGGGGCTGGCCCTGCGGCCCCCCTATCCTGACTCCAGTGTGCAAAAAGGCGGACGTGTCTTGGGCTGAGAAGGAAGGGAGCCCCAAGGTCTGACTGCCCCCTGGGACCCTGTCCCCGCACCTCCCTCCCCCGGCGCTGGTTGGCTCTCGGGGCTGCAGGGCACTGAGGTGGTGGGGCAAGGCACAGAGAAGGTTCAGGCTAACCCCGTACCTCCCGCTCGGGCCCCGGATTTGGGGGAGCGCGCCCGGCCGGCCGAGCTCTCCCGACTTAGACTAGGTCAGGGCCCCGCGCGGCAGGTGTCCCCACCCCCAGGACGCCTGGCGCCCCTCCGAGGACTAGGAGGCGGATCAGGGCGGGAACACGGGCGGAGGACGCTGCTCGGGCGCTCCGTCCTCCCGCCACTGTCCCGAGGCCTGGCAGAGTGGGAGGAGGCAGGGCCAGGCTGGGGTCGAGCCGGGGCTCCGGACGGGTCACCGGGTCTTTCGCAGCGCCCTCCTTCCTCCGCCCGGCTTCCCGGGAAAGGTCCGCGGCCCTCCGGGGGCGGGTCCGGCGAGGGGCGGGCGTGGCCACGCGCGGCCCCGCCCACCCCGCCGTGGGCTGGGTGCGGGCCCGGGAGCGCGGGTCGGCTGCGGCGGGGCGCGGAGGAACCGCCGGTGGGTGGGCCTCCGGGCGCTCGCTCACCGACCGCGCCCGGGGCCACGTGTCCCTGTTTGGTCACGGGGCGGTGCCCGGGCCACAAGTCCTCGCGCCCCCCCTTGCCCCGCCCAGCAGGAGCTGGGTCCGGGCTCTAGCTTCGCCCGCGCCCTTTGGGGTCAGCGCTAGTGACCTCGGACGGAAAACCCGCGGGCGGCCGAGCGCGGAAGAGGCTACCCCAGAGGCGGCGCAAACTGAGGCCGGAGACCTGGGGCGCCCTGACCTGTCCGGATCTGCCCGGTCTCCCGGGATGCGAGCAGGGCCGGCCACATGGCGGCCCTGCCACCCGCAGCCCTTCTGCTCTCGCTCTGTTAGCTGCTTTCAGACCCGGCACCGGAGCCCCTTCCCCCCCCCGCACCCCCATCTCCTCCGCCTCGGCGGGGTGCGGGCAGGCGCGGCACCCCGGCCCCTAGGGACTCAGCACGCACCTCCCCGGGTGGGGCGCGGGCTGGGCACGGGGACACGCCCCAGGGGCAGCGAGCTTGAACGCCTGGGCCAGGAGATGGCGCCCGGCTCCGAGACGGGCCCGGTGCTACGCCCAGGTGGGCCGCCAGGTGGGACCCGCTAGCGGGGCTGGGCGCCTGGGGCGGGGCGAGCGGTCCGGGCGGCACCTGTGTGTGCCGGAGAGACCCCCACAGCCGTTGACGGGGTTGGGGAGGCGCCCGGCACTGCCGGCCAGCCCCTGAGTCACTGCCGCCAGAGAGTGATGGGAGTGGCCGCTGACCTCAGCCAGTGCTGACGCAGGGACAGAGGGTGCGATTGGGGTCAGTGGGCACCCGGGCCACGGAAGAGGGGAGGGCCAGGGCCTCGACTCAGCCAGACGGGACCAGCCCACCCTGACGCCCAGGCACCTTCGGTCCACCCCAAAGCCGGGGGACCTGGACCTGACGTGCATCCGTTGAATACACAGGGCTGGGGCCCAGGGGATGGGGATGTGGGCGTCCCAGCTGCCATGCGCAGTCTGCTTCCTGGGCAGCTCAGTTATTTCCACAGCTAGCCCCCCCGCCCCAGGCAGAGGGCATTGATAACCAATTCAGAGAGAAGGAGAGGGGGCCCCTAGGCTGAGGCAGGTTCCAGGTCACACAGCAGGAAAGGCGGAGCCAGGATTGCAGCCGCCGACTCTAAAGCCAGCTCCTTACTCACCCCGCTGACTATGGGAGGCTGGAGGGGGAGGACAAGGGGGCGTGAGCCGATTCCACTTCTCCAGGGGCAGTCCCAGGGCTGTGAGCTGCAGGGCCACCCCAGGAAGTTGGGAGCGGGCACTGGAGTGCCACACCAGGGCAGTGGGGAGCCACAGAATGCCCTGGGGTGGGGTAGGGTAGGGTGGGGGAGCAGAGGTGGGCCTGAACGTGGAGTGGCGGGGGGCCAAGGCAGCCAGGCTGGGCTCAGGTCCTTCTGGGGGAAGGACAGACGATGCTCTTGCGCAGTCGGAGGCCAATCCGCCTCCCTGGCTGACAGGTGGGTTGGCCCCAGCAGGTGTGTCCATAGGGGACTGTGGGAGTGAATCGTTGCTTGGAGCGCCCCCCAGGAGCGGCCCCTCCCCGTAAGCATCCGGAGTGAATCTGCCACTGTGCTGTGCTGAGCACCTTCCCCGACCCCTCCCGCCAGGCCCCACTTGACACGGGGCTGGGTTGAGTTTGGTGGGCCACCCAGCTGGGGAGGGGCAGGCAGGGCCCTGTAAGTATGGTTTCGGGTTTGCGCATCTGCACACCTGAATTACCCTACCTGGGGAGGGTAGTTTGGGGAGGGAGGGAATGCCATGCTGGAAGCGTGCCCTTGGGTTTTGAAGGCCTGACCCCCTGTCTCTTCTTAGACTATTTCGGGGAAATGGGTATCATTGGAATCCTGACCCAGTACCCAGGATTGTTTCATGTTTCTCTGTGAGGTTTTAGGCCTTTCTCTTCATTTCTGTTGCAGTGACATTTCTGGCTGTGCTCTTGGTGAAGTCCCCTTGTTGTCCCGGCCACTTCCAGCCCCTGGGCACACAGTGGCCTTCAGCTCTTGGGAAATTTCTTGCATTCTTTCTTTCACAGTTTCTTTCCTGTTTTGTTTTGTTTTGTTTTAAATTTTTTTTTCTTTTTTTTTTTAAAAGATTTTATTTATTTATTTGACAGAAAGAGAGTTCACAAGCAGGGGGAGAGGCAGAGGAAGAGGAAGCAGGCTCCCGGCTGAGCAGGGAGCCTGATGCGGGGCTCGATCCCAGGACCCTGGGATCATGACCTGAGCCGAAGGCAGCCGCTTAACCGACTGAGCCACCCAGGGGCCCCAATTTTTTTTTAATTTTTTCTTTTTTTTTTTCCTTTGGGATTTCTGATAATGGGGTGTCCTATCTCTTCCACAAGGCCTTTAATACTGTTACTGTTTCTTTTTTTTTTTTTTTAAGATTTTATTTATTTATTTGAGAGAGAATGAGAGACAGAGAGCATGAGAGGGAGGAGGGTCAGAGGGAGAAGCAGACTCCCCGCCGAGCAGGGAGCCCGATGTGGGACTCGATCCCGGGACTCCAGGATCATGACCTGAGCCGAAGGCAGTCGCTTAACCGACTGAGCCACCCAGGCGCCCTGTTACTGTTTCTTTGACCTGTTTTCCCCCCAGCTTTCTGGGATATTTCTTTGACTTCTTCTGGCCCTGCAATGGAATTTTTTTTATCCCAGTTATTATAGTTTCTAACCCTTTTGTTTTGGGATAATTTCAAACTTACTAACTTTCTAACATTTACCACACTTGCCTTATTGTTCTTTTTATCTGTCTTTTCATGTCTGAACCATTTGGGAGTTGGTCTCAGACATTCTGCCCTCTAGCCTTCACATCTCAGCGCGTTTTTCCTGAGAACAGGGGCGTTGTCCTACCCAACGACAGCGCCGTGGCCCACGTGCGGCCGTGGACAGGCCGCTGCTCATCTCCTCTGTATCTCCAACAGCAGTTGCCCCCACTTAGTCCTGTGTCATCCAGGCGTCACGAACCGTCCCCTGCTACATCCCCTAGGCTTCTCTCTCACTCGCCCACCACTCGAAGCAGCACCTAGGCGTGTGCGGGTTTTCCCGGGAAGCAGACCAGCACCGAGGCCTCGGGCTGGTGCTTGGCGCTGTCCCCCCCCAAACCCCCCCTCCGGGGGCCGTCCAACAAAGGAAGATGAGCACGTGCACAGCCTTTTCCGCTGTAGGACGAGGAAACGCTCCATTCCTGTTTTGTCCCAGAAGTCCCTTTTGGATCTCTAGCGAGGTTTCAGGCACACAGTAGGTACTTAGTATGTGCCCGTGACGGTTGGTGTGAGGGGTCTGGTTCCGTCGTGCCGGGCTGCGCCCCTGCGCACAGCTGTGGTGCTCGTGTGTGCACGGTTGCACGGGAAGGCTGGGGTGCGCAGAGGCGGCCCCGTGCTGCCAGGGACTTACTCTGACACGTTCTTGTGAATGCTCCCCTCTTGTTCTAGAAATATGCAAAGGTCCTGGGGTTTGGGTGTTGGACGACCGCACTGGGAGGGGCTTCCCCTCCCAGCCAGCAGCTTCCCTTCAAGGGCGCGGGGGAGGGCCATGCAGGAGGGGAGTCCACGAAAACCAGTATTTCATGAGCTGTCCTGCCTTCCGGAGGGGTGGGGGATGGGAGTGGGGCTGGGGATGGTGAGGGAAGGGAGGGGTCTTGGGGGCTCCGGATGGTGGGGAAGGGGAGGGGGGGTGCATTTTCATGTGGAGCAGGCGGTGTGAGATGCGGAGCCGCCTCCCCACACTCTTCATTCCAACACTGCCCTCTCCCTCCTGCCCTGCAGAAGGGAGCCTGTCACCCTAAACCGCCTGCAAACCTCCAGTAAACCAACCCAGGCCCCGCCTGCCCATGTAAGTGGAACTTCAGAGTGGCCGAGCTCCGCCATGAAAAAATCATGAGGCAGCCAAGCCCTGGGCCTGTTTTCAGGAACAATGCAGGAGGCTGGGCCCTGGGCGCTGGCCAAGCTGGGCCCCGGGCGCTGGCCAAGCTGGGCCCCAGGAACCGACGCTGGGCCTGGGAGCAGGGGAATCAGGGCCTTGGGGCCGGGCCCAGCAGTGCCTGGGCAGGCAGGAAAGCCCTGGCCTCGCCCTGGGGGCAGAGGCCCAGAAGGGGGCCGGCCAGAGTGGCCTGGCCCTGGGAGGGCACAGTGCCTGGGGCCGAGGGGGACAGGAAAGCGGGGCGGGGCCTTGGGGGTTTCCTCTGTGTGGAGTAATTCCCAGAGACTCGCTGGCCTGTGGGGAAGGAGGGGCACAGCGGGCATTGCTCAAGCAGGGGGCCAGGACCTGGGTCTGGGACAGGTGTGGCCCCGGGGGGGTCCCTCCGTCCTGGGCCATTGCCAGGCCAGCCCGAGTGGGGAGCCACTCCCTCCCCCAGCCGGCACGCACGTGGGGCCCATGCCAGCTCACGCCACCAGCAGCCGTGGTGCTCGGGCATCCAGCCTGGTACACGCGCCAGTCGCCATGGCAGCACGCAGCGTGCTGGGCAGGAGCCCAGGCTGGGCGTAGCATCCAAGGCCAGCGGTCTAGATATGCAGGACCGGGAGTCCTTTCCCTGGTAGCCCCCCCAGGGGCCTGGCCGGGGCCGGGGGGCCCTGCAAGTGGCCAGGCCCGCCCATCCCCCAGCATCCCAGGGAAGGAACAGTTTCCTGAGAGCTCCAGGGCAGATGCCGGGGGGCTGGGGGCTTCAGGGCCCTCTCTGCTCCTGACCTCAGCTGGACCTCACTAAAACAGGCGGGAAGCCAAGGATCTGCCCCACCCTGGGCTGCTGGGAGCTTCCGAGAGCTGGGGCGACCCCTGCCTTCCAGGCCCAGCTCCAGACAGCTGGGTCCATCGGCGGCTGGCCACTCCCCGAAGTGGGGGTCCAGGGGTGCTGCTCGCCCGGACGGCCTCTCAGTGCCCAGGAGAGAAAGTTACGCATGTTGAAGTGGGCGCGTCAGGCAGCCTGACACCTGTCCTCAGGCCTTGTCCGGTGGTGGCAGACGACGGCCCAGGGCGATGCACACACACAGGTACACACCCCGTCCCCCAGGAGGGCAGGTCCAGAGGTGAGTGGGCCAGGTGACTCTGGATGCCCCCGAGGGCATCCTGGACGGGCCGTAGGCCTCGTGAGCCCCTTGTGGGTGGCTGTGTGGACCCCCTCGGGCAGGGGACATGTGTGTCCCTGAGGACACAGCCCGCCACAGGCTCTCACAAGTAGCCCCTGACACGGTTCCCTTGTGCTGTACACAACCTGACCGCCATGCTGGGTGGCCACGAGCAGGCTAGGGCTGGGATCCAGGGAAGCTTTTCCAGGACCAGGGCCGGTCCAGCCACTGACCACGGCTCCCTCTGTCCTGCCCCGCCCGTGTGCACCTTCACACGCACGCCCACAGCAGCATGCACTCTGCCTCACCTCCCTGCAGAGGCTCAGTGCATCACACCGGACGTCCCTAGTACCTACTGTGCGCCAGGGCCTTACCGGGGATCCAGACGTGGCCCCTAGCAGGCATCGGGCTCAAGGCTTGGGTCCTGGGAGGTGTGGGGGGCAATCCATGCAACCTCCCTCCCTCCAAGGAAGCCTGGGCCGGGAGGCCCACCTCTCAGAGTCCCTTGGGGCCTGAGAGGCTCCCCCCTCAGCTCACACTGCGAGTCAGTGCCAGGCAGCCCCACACCAGGCCCGCCCAGAACCGAGAGATCACAGCCACTTCTGGCTCTGCCAGCAAGAGACTTCCTGGAGCCAGGCCCACTTAGCGACTGGCAGCTGGGCTTCCTCCCACTGGGCACGGGATGCCCATGAGCACCCTGCTGGTGCCAGTCCGTGCTAATGAGGCCTTCACGCCAATCGGGCATCCCGGGCTCCTTCGGAGCCTGGGTGGGAGTTGGGGGGACCGTGGGCACAGCTGTCCCGCAGACCCCCGTGCACGAGGATCTGAGCAGTGCCACTGAGCACCTGCTCCGTGGGTGTTCCTGCAACCCTGGGAGGTGGCAGAGAGTGAGATCTAGCGAGAAACAGCTGTCAGCATCGTGGCTCATACCCCCAAACCAGGGGCATGTGCCTGGCATCGAGGCTAGGCCTGGGCCCCTGGGACTTGGAGGATCTAATAAGGGCATCCTCCGTGGGGAGGGGGTGCTACCCCAGACCGCATCTCCCTGCCAGTGGGCGCCTGGCACGCAGCCCAGCGGGGCACACACTCGGTGCCCCATCAACGTGTGGGGGTCACAGAGACGGGCAGTGCTAGCTGTCGGGGAGCGCGAGACCAGCCCCACTGACCACCCCACAGCACACACGGTGCTGTTGGGGGGACCGGTGCCCAGGTGTGTCTCCCAGAATCCCCCTCCGGCCCTCAGTGTCTCCCTGTGCCTGGCAGGGCTGCTGCCCAGGGCTCAGAGAATGGAGGAGGGACTCCTGATCTTGTCTGCCCTGCCCACCCCCGGGGCCTGCACATGCCCAGCCCAAGGCCCTTGCACTCGGCTGGACCCCCACAGCCTGGGGCCCTGTCACGGCCTCCAGGGGGGCGGAGCGGAGCTGCCTGAGGCATCAAGGGCCCCGAGCCCATTCCCCGAGGGAAGCCTGAGGGTCACACGCTGCGATGATGAAGAGGACACCGAGGCTGGCCCAGGCCCAGGCCGGGCAGCTCTGGTTTCACTACTTGGCTCCCAGCCCCTGAGGCAGGTGCAGGAGACAGACGGGCAGGGTGCGGCTGAGCAGGCCCCTTGCGGGTCCCCGAAGACGGCCCCCCTGGGCTCAGCGGGGAGGGGGTCTAGCCCGGTGGTCCCAGTGGCAGGGGCTGGGAGGTGCTGGGGTCAGGGGTGGCCAGCTTCCGGCCTCTCCTAGCCTGCTGGCCACATCCCTCTGCTGAGAGGGCTCTGCCCCACAAACCCCCTGGACCAGACCCTGTAAAGACGCTGCAAGTCAGGCCAGTCGCCCCAGCAACATGAACAGCAGTTAGGGGTCCCCGGGCCCACGCAGCAAGGCTGGCTTCGCCCTAGCTCACCCAGGAAGGGGGAGCAGCCTCGTGGGCTCCTTGAGGTGCTTACGGCACAGGGCTCAGCCCGAGGCCTGGTCCTCTGACCCTGGGTCCAACAGCCCGCCACCTTCAGGATGGCCCCTGCCCACACTCTCGTGTCACCTTCCAGCTGCGTGGTCCTCCGGGCGGTCCAGGGGCCCTCTCCCGGTCCCACAGAGCCAGGCCGCCTGGCCTGATGTGAGTGCGACCCTGGCTCGGGCCAGGGTACCACGGGCGCCAGGATGGGGGCGTCTGGGCACACCTAGACGCTCCCTGGCACCGCGACCCCTGGCTGCCACGTTCCTAGCCCAGGCCACCCTGGGGGAGGTGTTGGGCCCAGGGCTGCAGGCTGCAGCCGAGCGGGACGGTATGGGACTCCAGCTCTGGGCTGCCTGAGTTGGGGGGCTTTGCCGGGCTCCTGGCACCAGGAATCAGAGAAGCAGTAACTGGATCTGGCCGAGGATCTGGCGGCTGCTGAGGGTGGAGGGCTGCGATCGGGTTGCGGCCTCGCTGAGTTTTCCACCAGGCAGCTTTCTCTACATTGGGAAGGAGCCGGGCTGGGCTGGTGAGTCTGTGCAGTGGGTCTGGGGGCCCTGACGCGGGTGACAACCAGGAGCAAGCCCAAGAGGCGCAGGGGCCAGGAGGCGGGGCCCGGGGCTCGGGCTGTAGGCCTGGGCAGCCGCCAGTGAGTACGGGGAGGTGGTCAGCCCGCGGCGGGCGGAGCTCTCCACCCCTGCAGGCCCTGGGGCTCCGGCCGCTGGGGCAGTCCACGAGTGGCTGAAATCCAAGCTGGGGTAACCCAAGGCAGCCGCCGTCCCTAAGCCGGCACAGCCCTGATCCGCCCCCCGCCCGCCCTCCGCCGCCCGCGGGCCTGCAGCCACTGGTCAGAGGGCAGCAGGTCCATGACGCCGGCCGGGCCTCTGGGGGACCTCGGGGGCCGTGAGCACGCGGAGAGCGCCTCCCAGGCCCCTCGTGGGGCGCTGGGCCGGCCCTGAGGATGCCCACCAACGGCCTGCGCCAAGTGCTGAAGATCCAGTTTGGCCTCGTCAACGACGCTGACCGCTACCTGACGGCCGAGAGCTTCGGCTTCAAGGTCAACGCCTCGGCACCCAGCCTCAAGAGGAAGCAGACGTGGGTGCTGGAGCCCGACCCGGGGCAGGGCGCCGCCGTGCTGCTCCGCAGCCGCCACCTGGGCCGCTACCTGTCCGCGCAGGAGGACGGGCGCGTGGCCTGCGAGGCGGAGCGGCCGGGCCCTGACTGCCGCTTCCTGGTGCTGCCGCAGGCCGACGGGCGCTGGGCGCTGCAGTCCGAGCCGCACGGCCGCTTCTTCGGCGGCACCGAGGACCGGCTGTCCTGCTTCGCCACGGCCATCTCCCCGGCCGAGCTGTGGGCCGTCCACCTGGCCATCCACCCGCAGGCGCACCTGCTGAGCGTGAGCCGCCGGCGGTACGTGCACCTGAGCCCGCAGGAGGACGAGATGGCGGCCGACAGCGACACGCCCTGGGGCGTGGGCGCGCTCGTCACCCTCACCTTCCAGGACGGGCAGTACTGCCTCCGGGCCTGCGACGGCCGCTACCTGCGCAGCGACGGCCGCCTCGTGGGGGGGCCCGAGCCCCACGCCCGCTACACGCTCGGGGTCAAGGCGGGCAAGCTGGCCTTCAAGGACCGCGACGGCCGCTACCTGGCGCCCGGGGGGCCCGCCGGCACGCTCAGGGCGGGCCGCAGCACGCGGCCGGGCAAGGACGAGCTCTTCGACCTGGAGGAGAGTCACCCGCAGGTGGTCCTGGTGGCCGCCAACCACCGCTACGTGTCCGTGCGGCAAGGTAACGTGGGCGCGGCGGGCCGGCCACGCCGACCTGGGTCCGGGCGCTCGCCTGGGGCAGTGGCAGCGGGCTGCTGGCTTCGGAGTCAGGAGGAGGGGTCCTTCTCGGGACCACTGAGCCCACGGTGCGCTGGGCAGCCGCGCCCAGGCCCGCGGCCGTGAGGGGCAGGAGGGCAGGTCCTGCCCTCGCTGGGCTGGCCCCCCACTCCCTGCCCCTCCCCTTCTCTTCTACTGCTCCGTTGTCTGAGCTCTACAGGAAATGGGGGAGGGGCCAAGGACAGGACAAGGAGCCATCAGTGGGCAGGGCCCTTGTGCCCACTGCCCGTGCCTCGCCAGTGGGGATCCTCATCCAACCCAGGAGTGGCATGTGGAGGGACCTTGGGGTCCCTCCAGTCTGGGGGCCTCCCCCAGGGCCCGGGCTTCTTGGTGGAAGGCACGGTCTCTGCCGGGTGGGTGCAGCCTGGCTCCCCGTCAATCCTGGAGCATTGGCCACCTGCCTGGTGTGACCAGTGGGCCTTTGCACATGCGATCACACGTCTGTGAGGTGAACACGGGCAATTCCTGCTTCCCGGAGACGAAGCTGAGGTCCCAGAGTGGCCCCTAGCCGGGCCCAGGCCAGCAGTTGCCACTGCCTCCTACTTGGGCTCCTGGGTCTGTGCCCCCAGGAGTGGCCAGGCACGCCCTGACCTGGCCCACTGCCACCCTCCAGTCCCGCTGGCCGAGGCCCAGCCGCGAGCACTCCAGAGGGCCCCCCTCCCCCGCCTGGAGTCAGGGTTCCCAAGGCCAGTCGTGCACCGCCATGGGCATTCCACAAACACCTCCTGCACGCCGCTCTGGAACGTGGCCAGGTCCCGTGGCACGACGGACAATCAGCCCTTGTGCTTCCCGGCGCGGGCCCTGCAGTCTGGCCACGGTGCTCTCTGGCCTGTGGGAAGCCCCCATGGTTGGTTTGTCCACCGTGTGAACCGCGTCCTCTGTGAGGCAGGGGAGGTGCTGGACACAAGGGCGCTTGGACGGGCTCGGGTGGCGAGCAAGGCTGCGGTGCCGCTGGTGGGGGTGACAGAGACCGTGCTGGTGGGACGGTGAGGGACGGCCCCGTACGGGCTCTTCTTCCTTCCCTGGAGCCCCTGCATCTGTCTGTCAGGGGGGCATCCCCGACAAAGGACGGGATCTGCCTTCCCCTGTAGAAGCCAGAGGGACCCCACATTCGCCTGCTCGCTTCCTTTGCAATAACCCTAGGGTATGGGACCTGCCCCCAGAGGTTCAGTGTTGACTGGGCAGCGAGTGGTTGAGGAAGCAGGATGTGACAGGATGTCCCTGTCAGTCCAGGGGAGGAGGCAGCTGGAGCTGTGGGTTCTGCCGAGTGCTGGTGCCTTGATCCCAATAATTTTGCTGGCCAGGCAGCCCCCAAACCTGTCTTCTTCTGCATGGGGTGTCTGGGAGTACCCTGGCTGGCCTTCAGTGACACAGTGGAGCTCACAGAATGGTCCCCAGTGGCTCAAGCCACGAGGACGTCACCTCACATAAACGAAGTCTGGAGGCACGGGGGTGGTGGGGTCCCAGGCAGGACACCATCGCTGGCTCAGTGGCGTCTTCAAACCCTTCACTCTCTCCTCCTTGTGGAGCTGCTCACGGGGGACAGCTCTGATCTCGGGCTGGTGGCCTCGTGGTCGCAGGACGGCTCTGCTATTCCAGCTGCGTGAGTTGGAAGCCCCTTGGCCGCAGTCTGTCTGGAGGGCGTGTGAGGGGCGATGCTGGGGATGCCGGTGGGGTCGGCCTCAGAGGGGCCGCGGTGCAGGTGTGCAGCCTGACTTGGGGGCCCTCTCCTCCTCCTTCCCTCAGCACCTGCGGGGATGGGTCTCCCACCTCCTTGGTCTGTTTGTGTCACCTTCTCCACGAGCAATCCCAGTCAAGGCCCATGGCACCCACGGGCATTGGACAAACTCTTTGTTGTCTGAGTTGTTAACTGATCACATGCCCGAAGCATCAGGTGCTCACTTAGTTCAGTGCTGCCAACGGGACGGCAGGGATGGTGGGGATTTATGCAAGAAGGGACACAGATCCCTATCTGGGCAGCTTTGGAGGGAGCAGCCTTGGGAGCTGGTGAAGGACGGCAGGTTTCACCCTCTCCAGCATAGGCCCTCCTGGTGCCCGCCCTACCTTCCTGGGGACGGGGCTGGACAGGATCTGGCCCCGACCCTCAGGCCCCCATTTCCTCCCGCTCCACCAGCTGGACACGCTGGAGCCCAGCCTCTTCGGGGAGCTCTGTGATCTGCCACATCACTGGAAACAGGAGCATGGTTTATGGGAAGATACTAGAGAGATGCCAGTGCCTGCCCCCTGCTCCCCACCCTGGGCATGGATGCCCCCAGTTCCCCCCTTCCAGGAACCCCAGGCAGAGCCCCAGACAGCCTTGCCCTCCCTCAGGACTCCCAGGAGACCACACACGTGAAAAGGGGGCTGGGGAGGGGACAGTGGATCGGCCTCTACTCTGTGCCCAGGAGTGGACCCCAGGCCCCAGCTGTGCCCTGGGCCATGGCTTGGGGAAGAAGGACCCCACTGTGCCCACCCAGTGGCTTAGGATTAAGTTATAAATAGAGGCTGGTGTAAGTCCTGGGTCGAGAAGGCAGCAGCAAGCAGATTACCTGATGATTAGCAGAGGCAAGGGATTTGCTGGCACGGAAGGTCTGGCTCCTGGGGCTGTGGTAGGAGCTAGGCCAAGGAACTTTAGGGAACTGGATGTAGGGGTCTGCAGTGTTCCCACGTGGCCACGGGCACCGCCTCCTACCCTCTGAGAAGTGCCTTCCAAATCTTAACTCCAAAGGGTTCTAGATGAGAACCCCTCTGCCTTCAGGATTTTCCCAAGAGCATGCTTTTTCCCATCTTTCTGCTCCCCACCCCCCACCCAGGGAGAGGCGCGAGGGGCTTCCCATATCCTCCCTCCAGGGGTCAACGTCTCAGCCAACCAAGACGAAGAACTGCATCATGAGACCTTCCTGATGCAAATTGACCAGGAGACAAAGAAGTGCACCTTCTATTCCAGCACCGGGTGCTACTGGACCCTCGTCAACCATGGGGGCATCCATGCCACAGCCACACAGGTGTGAGTGCACCATCCCCATCTCCACCACCACCGCCATGCTCACCATCACACCTCCATCACCACCTCCCTGCCTCCTCCACCATCTCCACCATCATCACCATACTCACCGTCACCACCACGATCACCACCTCCCTGCCTCCTCCACCACTTCCACCATCACCACCATGATCACCACCTCCATGCCTCCTCCACCATCTCCACCATCACCACCTCCATGCCTCCTCCACCATCTCCACCATCATCACCATGCTCACCATCACCACCACGATCACCACCTCCATGCCTCCTCCACCACTTCCACCATCACCACCATGCTCACCATCACCACCACGATCACCACCTCCCTGCCTCCTCCACCACTTCCACCATCACCACCACGATCACCACCTCCATGCCTCCTCCACCATCTCCACCATCATCACCACGATCACCACCTCCATGCCTCCTCCACCACTTCCACCATCACCACCATGCTCACCATCACCACCACGATCACCACCTCCCTGCCTCCTCCACCACTTCCACCATCACCACCACACCGCCTCCACCACGATCACCACCACTACGCCTCCTCTATCTCCACCATCACCTCCACGACCACTACCACTGCCACCCCCTCATCACCTCCATCTGCACCAGCACCTCCACCATGAGGACCACTGTAGCAGCCCAGCCAAGAAAGAATGCCCACTGGGGTGAGGGGTGGCTCTTGATGGTGGTGGGTGTGTCAGTGGAAGGCAGGTACCCTTCTCCCCCTGGGGGTTGGTGCTGGGCCTGAGGGGGATGAGAAAGCCTGACCCTGAGCTCCCCACGTCTTGCTGCTCTGAGGGGACTTTACCCTGACCTTCCCAGTTCTGCCAACACCATGTTTGAGGTGGAGTGGCGTGGCCGGCGGGTGGCCCTCAAGGCCAGTAACGGGCGCTATGTGTGCATGAAGAAGAATGGACAGCTGGCGGCCACCAGCGACTTTGTGGGTGAGCACCCCTCACCAGTTCCAGGGAACTGGGGCCGGGCCCTCTGCCCACAGACCCCTGTCACCTAAGAATCAGCCCCTCCTTCCTGTACAACTGCCCAGCTGGCCCTTGGCATGAGCCACACTTGCTGGTCCAGATAATCACTGTGGACGTCAAGGAGCAGTCACAGCCCAGAACTTGCTTGTCTCCACTGTGTATTTGGGGAACCTGGGGCTTGGTGGTGGCAGGCCTCTTGCCAAGGTCACAGGAGGCCACGGCAAGGGCAGATATGGGCCCCCTCTGCCCCCGGGCCCCACCCATCCCCGGAAGGCGCCAGAAGGCAGTGGGCAGGCAGCGGCCCCTCAGCCCCTACGCCCCGCCAGGTGAGGACGAGGAGTTCACGCTCAAGCTCATCAACCGGCCCATCCTCGTGCTGCGGGGCCTGGACGGCTTCATCTGCCACCGCCGGGGCTCCAACCAGCTGGACACCAACCGCTCCGTCTACGAGGTCTTCCATCTGAGCTTCAGCGACGGCGCCTACCAAATCCGAGGTGCGGACGGGAGTGCGGGGCGCAGGGCAGGGGCTTCTGCGGGGCGGGGGCGCGGGGCGGGGGGCCTGGGCGGCCGGGCGGACCCCCGCCGACCCCGGCCCGCCCCCAGGCCGCGGCGGCGGGTTCTGGAACACCGGCAGCCACGGCAGCGTGCGCAGCGACGGCGAGCGCGCCGAGGACTTCCTCTTCGAGTTCCGCGAGCGCGGCCGCCTGGCCATCCGCGCGGGGAGCGGCAAGTACCTGCGCGGAGGCGCCTCCGGGCTGCTGCGCGCGGACGCGGACGCGCCGGCCGGGGTCGCGCTCTGGGAGTACTGAGCGGGTGGCGCGCCCGTCCCCCCATTAAACCGAGTCTGTGACGCAGCGGCTGGCGGGCTCCGTGGCGCCGCTCGCGCGGGGAGGGCCAGCGCCTCTGCCCCGGGGGTCCCGGCCGTGGGCCTCCACCTCCCCATCCCCCAGCGCAGGCGAGCGTGGCCGGGAGGCGGGTCCAGCGGGCGGGACACCCCCGCCCCACCCCGTCCCTTCCTGGGCAGGGGCACCCCGGCACCCCCTGGGCCCCGCCCCCGCCCTGTGCGGGCGCCACACAGCTGCTCCCAGAGACCGAGCGGAACTGGGGTGGGGGTGAGGTACCCCCCATGGCTCTCCTCCCCAGGGGCAGGGTCTTGGGGAATCCCCCGCGCACCTGAGGCGAAAGCGACCCCACCCCTCCCAAACACGGTGTGAGTGGCCAACCCCGGGGAGAAGACCCCTCTCAGCCCAGACAGGGGGCTCCAGGTCTCCCACTCCCACCCCACGCGTGGCTCTCACCCCCCAGCCGCAGACCCCGGAGAGCCCCCACCCACCTTGCCCCAAGCAGACTGGATGCCAAGATAAGGTCTGTGGTCCACCAGCTGGCGTCCAGGCACTCCCAGCCCCCACGGACCCCCACCCAGGCCAGTGCCTCTTGGCTGGGCTGGGTGACCCAGGCCATCAGAGAGCCGAGTGGGAGACGTGGAACCTGGGGGCTGGGGGAGGGGTCAGGACACGGCCATGTGGCCTAGGGCCTGAAGGGAGGGTGAGACCAGATGCCGGGTCCCTAAGCCCAAGTCCCTCCCCGTGCCTGGGGCCTGAAAACCCCCTCCAGTGAGTCCAGCCAGTGTGGTCCAGTCGGGACTGGGGCGCTTTGGGAAGAGCGTGCGAGGAAGGGAGTGCAGAGCGGATGTGCCCAATCAGAGTGGGGAGGAAGGGACCCCCCTCTCCCCCCAGCCTCTCCCCAGCACCCTCCTCAGCCACGCCTGCTCCTGACCTCACTACCCACCCCCCCACCCCCGCCTTAAAGACAGAGGAGCTGGACCCAAGTGGGCCCCCTGGTCAAGGGGGGCTTAGTTAACCCTTCGAGGACCAGACACCAGAGCCCAGAGGCTGCAGAGGGGACAGGTGGCTGCCTGAGCCACAGCCCGTGCTGCCCCCTAGTGGCGCCCAGGGCAGGAGGGTTGGGGGCTCACCCGCCCAGGGCTTGCCGCCAGTCATCAGTGTGAGGACTCCCCTCTGCTGACTTCTGCCACAGGGTGCACTTGGCCTCAGACCCTTGCTGAGCGGGGGAGGGGAGGCAGGGAGGCGTGCCCCAGGGGTCCCCAGAGGGGCCAGCTGGGGTGGCAGTAGGGATGCCCCTGCGCCTGGGAGGAGAGAGGCTGGGACTGCGCAGAGGCCATCCTCTGGCGGGCCAGAGCTGTGTAAGGGATGGTGAGCCACGCGCAGCAGAGGCTGGCTGAGGGACCCCTGGTGCTCAGTGTGGCGTCCCGTCCCCGATGGGGTGACCAGGCACCCCAGCGCGAGGCTCCCAGGGAAGCTCCGGCCTGTGTCCCATTTGTCCTTACCCCCCACCCGTCTCCCCTCATTCACGAAGGTTTCACAAGATTCCACTTTATCTCCTCTCAGCTGGTTAGGTGTCCGGGTCGTGGGTCTCCTTTTCTGGAGACTAGGTGGCGGGCCCCCAGTGACTGCCCTGCCCCCACCCCGCCCCACCAGCGGCCTCCCGCCAGCAGGCAGGGGGAGCGCCCCTCCCCACTGCTGTGTCTCCGCCCCCGGGAGGACGCGTGCTCACACCTCTCCAGGGTTATCCTGTGGGCAGGAGCGAGGCTGCCTGTGTGGGGAGCGGGACGGTGGGGCCCAGGGGCAGCGCAGTGAAGCCCGGGGGCTGGGGACGTGCTTCCAGCGCTGCTCGGCCCACCCCCCGCATCTGTGCCCACCCCCGCCCAACCTCCAGCGTGCAGGCTGTGTGGCGGCCGCCCACTCTCCCGACTCGGACCCGGACTCCCCACTGGCCCCTCTCCCTCCTTGGGGACGAGGGACTCGCGTGCCCCGCAGGCCAGGTGGGCACTTCGCCCCAGTGCTGGGAGACCCCCTACCGGCCCCCACGACCACGGAAAGACCAAGGCAAGGTTCATCCGAGCATACCCCTGGGGGGGCCCAGAAATGCAGCTCAGAGCTGCCGCCCCAAACACACACACACCCAGAAGCCGAGGCAGCTCGGCCCGAGAGCACACTTGTTCTGCGGCAGAGGAGCCTCGCGCCTCCCGCACGCGCACAACGGCACCATGTCAAGTCCGAACGGGCGTCAGCGCCGGAGGGAGGCAGCTGGGGGGCTGCAGCCCACCGTGAGGGACCCTGGAAGCAACGCACAGTGCTGGGCGCCGGGCGCAGCCCCGGCTGGGAACACCTACCGGGTGAGGGTGGGAGCCACAGGGAGCGGCGTCCCAGCTGGTGGCCTCAGCAGAGCACAGACGCAGGGCTGAGGGGCCCCGAGGGGGACGAAGGGGTCTGCGCGTGGCGGGCGTGGGTGGGCGGGCAGCGGGGCGGTGGGAACAGCAACAGTCAGAGACGCAAACCCGCAGGTCCCGACCCCAGAAACCTTGTCCGCGGCCCGACTTCTGCGGGGAGGGGAGGCCGCTGACCCAGCCCCCGTGCCCCGGGCCGGACCGCCCAGCTCGACCAGGTGCCGCGGGAGCCGTGGGCGGCTGTCCAAGGCAGGGGAACGCTGTGGGCCGCTCGGGCCAGGGCGGACGGGGCCGCAAGGGCAGAGCCCGGTGCCCCGGGCGCCTGTGATCGACGCGCTTTACACACGCCCTGGAGCAGCCGCGGGCCCCGTGTCCCGTTCAGTGGCCCGGCTCACCTGCCTTCCCCCACCCCACAGCCACAGCCAGGGTCAGGCGGCGGGAAGCAGCCTCCGGTGCCCTGGGCGTGTCTCCGTAAAGCCACGGGGGCGCCTGGCTTGTGGCGGGGGCGGGGCGGGGCCCACGAGGCGTCACAGCAGGAGGAGGCTGGGGCTCCGGAGCTGCCCGTACACCTGCAGGAGCCTCTCGGCAGTGCCACAGGAGCTGGCTTCGTCCTCCGTGCACAGCCGGTCCCGAAGGGCCCGCACCTCCTGCAGCAGTGTCTGCGGTGGGGCAGGCAAGGGCTCAGAGCCCCCTCCTCCCTGCTGGGACACCCCCGATGCGCAAATCCTACTTGGGATGTGGCAGCTGACCTAGGAATGCAGGGGATGTGCAGCCAGGCCCCCCTCCCCAGGTGACAGCAGGGGCCTAGTGAAGGTGGACTAGCAAGAGGAGCAAGACGGGAGACAGAAGTAACCGCAGCCACCCCGCCCCCTGCCCTGACTCTGGGCTGAGGACTGGGCAGGCCCCGCCCTGTGCCGGGTGACGCCTGTGCTCCCAGAGGATCCCAGCCAGGGATGGTCCTCCCTGGCCAGGCTGGCGGGAGGCCCCGGGGACGGGAGCTGGAGGGGCCTCACCTCGTGGTTGATATGGATCTGGTGGAGATACTGCACACGGAGGTCAGGTGGGCTGGAGCTCTGGGCAGCGTGCTCCACAACCATCCTCTGGGGGCGGGGGCGGACAAGGGGCAGGTGGCTGGAGAGGTGCCCAGGGCTCCAGCACCGTACCACCCCCTCTGTCTCTTCCGCTCCAGCCCCAGCCTGACAGTGGAGGCCTTGGAAGTCACTTTCTCCTAAGTTCCTGCCCCCCCACCTCCTCCCTCGTCCCCACAGAGCCACCTTCCACCGCCCCATCTCCCATCCTTCGTCCCAGGCCTGGTGCCTCCTGCCATCACGGGGCCACCCAACCTGCCCCATTGGCACATCCCCTCGGCACAGCCCGCTGTGGGGCTGGTTCTTGTCCTGCATTCCGGGGGAAGCCCAGGCAGCTCCTGGGGGCTCAGATCCAAGCTCCCAGACAGGATTAGGCAGCAAGGCCCCCACTGGCCTCTGTGGCAGGCCCTGCACATCTGGCAGGGTCCCCCAAACTCTGAGCGGCCAGGACAATACAAACTGGTTCTCAGGTACACTCCCATCACAGGGAACAGGGCATCAGCTGACGGAGGACAGACTGGGGTGTGCAGCCCACGTGAGGATGCCCCTCAAGGGAGCATCTGCAGCCCTCCCTTTTCGGAGCCAAATTCACCCGGGAGTGCTGCCCCCAGCAGCTCAGGGACTATACTCGGACATGAGGTCTCTGCAAATGAGCGAGGTCGGACGAGCTCCTGCTCGGGGGGGGGCGGGGGGCAAGTCTAATAACAAGCGATCAGGACACAGAGGACAGTTACATGCAAACGTGGGGAGAAGCCGTTTGCGTGACGTGGGGAGAGGCCTGGGCCTCCAGCACTGAATTCTTGCTGTTTGTGCCCCGTCTGTGGCTGTCATGGCAACACCAGGACACTGACCTCCCCCTCCTGCCGGGGGTCCAGGCAACACGCTCCTTCCCCCACATCACACTAACCACACCTCCTGACCGCCATGCTCATGCTCGGCAGGGTCTGGAGACAGCCTGACAGGGAGCAGGGGGACCTCGGTCTAGGAGGCTCCCCTCTGGGCAGACGGAACGGGACGCACTCTGGGGGCAGGGCCTCCTCTGATGGCTCGAGGAACTCGGATCTACACTCCTGAGCTGCGTGTGCTGCCTCAGGCCCATCACGGCGCCACACAGGGTGGCCGCGGTGGCCACGGGCTCCTGAGTGGCGCCCACCTGCCTGGGGGCACCGGTGGGTCTAAACCAGCGGCGCTCAGGTCCTCGTCAAAGCCTAAAAGCCTGGCCTGCAGGTTCTCCGATTCTCAGGGTCTGGGTGGGGCCTGGGAATGTGCCTTGGCACGTTCCCAGGTGAGGCTGAGGGCTGCCACTGCAGAGTCCTCTGTGGCCACCAGGGCCACAGTCGGAAGCGGCGGGAGGAGATGGGCCAGCCAGCCCCGGGGCCTGGGCTCTGCCCGGCCAAGGGCACCAGGGGAGACCTTCACCTGGAACGGGGGACCCTCTCAGACCCAGGAGTTACAGCCCCCAGACGGCAGCGTAGCCGCTGCCTCCTACGCCTGGTGGGGCCCCCAGCAGCGCTGAGAGGGTGCCGCCACTCTTGCTTTCCTGGCAGAGATGTGGAGGCTCAGAGTGCAGGCCCCTCGGCCCGGGACCCACGCCCAGCGCATGCAGCCCCAGCGCATGGCCTCTCTGCACAAGGGGTTCCTCGGCCAGGCAAGTGCGGGGACGTGGAGCGGACTGCGGCAGGAACACGCGCACCGTCCTCCTCCAAGCTAGCGGCAGGGGGCTTACGGGGGCCCAGCGGGGGCTGCCAGCACACCGGGGGGCAGCGTCTGCTACTGAAGGGCAATCAGCAAAGCTCCCCCACTCGCCTCCCGGGCGCCCACAGCTCCCCTGCACAGCACGTGGGAGCAGAGGAGGAGGCGTGGTCCTGCGACCCCCATGCAGGCAGCCCCGTCGCCCACAGTCCCATGTTCCCCCCACTGCCCACCCCCCCAGCAGGCCCACATACCTGCAGCCGCCCGATGACCGCGTGGTGTGCACTGCACAAGCTAGACAGAGAGGAGCTCTCCACCTGGATCTCCACGGTCTGCATGGGCCCTGCTGTGCACAGGTGGGTCACAGTCACCTGCAACACAGGACGAGCCTCAGCGACCACGCACGGCCCTGCCCCACCCCAAGGGCAGCTCCACCTGCCCTCAAGAGGCCCTGGGGCCCCCCACTCCCAGGCCTGGGTCTCCCCACCCCTCGTTAACTTGTATCAGAAACACCAGCCAGCCAATCAACAGTGGCCCGTGGGAACGTGTGTCCAGGAGGAGCCCTGTTCCCTTGGAATCGAGACCCACGGCACTCACTCTACGGCCACGTGACTCTGTGCCCACCCCACCGTGGACAGCCCACGCCTGGACCACCCCTACGGCCCACACTGGGGCCACGAGTGCCAGCTGTGCACGGGGTGGGGGCCCACACGTGAAGGACAGGCTGGTCCCCATCGGGACCCCACAGCCCTGGGAAAGCTGTTCAGCACAGCCGGGCCTCAGACGGCGCCCGTCAGAAACCTCTGCAAGGTGGGGACCGACGACCCGATTCCTCTCGAGCAGCCCAGAGACACAGCTGGCTTGGGGATGCCGCTCGGAGAAGCCTCTCCCCGGAGGGCGGACCCCCGCTTGCCTCTCGGATGGTAAGGTGCAGGTCAGTGCCATCTGGGGCCACTCCCTGGACCGAGCACAGCCGTCGGGCCCGCACGACATCCAGGGCCGTGTTCTCAGCGAGGAGCCACTGCAGGGTGGCAGAGCCCAGGGACGTGCCTGCTGGACAGGGGTGCCGCCGTGAGCTCGGGCGGGGCCTGGGAGAGGGAGGAGCCCCGTGTCCCCAGGCCCTGGGGCCACAGTGACGCCAGCCACCACCACCAACCTGCATGACTGTCCCCCAAGGCGGCCCTCAGAAGCTCTGCGGACACCTTGATCGTGGCCACCGACGGGGGCAGGAACTTGGCCCGCAGGGAAGCAGGTCCCGCCGGCTCGCTGCATGGCCCGAGAGATCCCAAGAAGGTGTCCACAGAGTCGCTCACCGGGCCGAGCAGCCCGGGGGCCTGCGTGTGGGGTGTGGCCAGGCCAGGAAAGCGCAGACACTGCAGCATGTCCACAGTGTGCTCGCTCAGGGGCAGGCAGATGCCGTCCTGCTCAGGCAAGACGTCAGAGGGGCACTCATCCAGAGAGGGGCCCGTGAAAGACTCCGAGGGGGCGAGGGCCCCACCCACAACCTCCCTGAGGCTGTAGTGTAGTGCGCAGGACACGGTCAGGGGCAGGTCCAGGGCGCCATCCTCCCCAGGGCCCAGGGGCAGCGTCACCTCCCGCCGATCGCCAGGGCCCAGCCGGTCCACGGGGATGGTGTAGGTGGTGGCCGAGCCAGCCGCGTCTGGGTCCGAGGCGGGGGTGGTCAGCACCTGCACGCACAAGGCCCAGCCCCGGTCCAGACTGAGGCCACTGTTGTTCTCCAGCCGGCAGGTGGCCGTCAGCACGTCCTGCGGCTGCAGGCGGCTCCAGGCGGTGGTGGTGGTGCACGAGATGGGCCTGGCGCCCTCCCGGCCGGCCAGCAGGACGCAGCTCACGTTCATCGCTTCGTTGAGGCACGTCAGGGCCTTGTTCCGCTCGTCAACTGCCTTCTTCAGAGAAGACACTCTGGAAGGAGCAAACGTGGCACCCGAGGGAGGGGAAGGAGGCGTGGTGGTGGGCCCCTCGTCCCCTCCTCCCAGGACGGGAAGACACCAGAACCTCGCTCCTTGACACACACCCCGTGAGGGGCAAGCCGCTGCCTCGGGGAGCAGCGCTCCGGTCCCGCCCATGCCACAGCCCTTCCGAAGGGGCCCCCAGCCGTCTGACCCAACCCCTGCTCTCAGGCAGCAGGACCACGGAGGGCAGAGGATGGAGCCGACAGAGCCCACGCTCAGCAGGCCTGGCCTCGCTCACCGGGCTCCCGGCCGCCGCCAACCTCGTCAGGACCACGTGGGCCCAGGGGCGGCTGCGCCTTCCCAGCCGTGTTCTGAGTGGGCCCCTTTGCTCCGCCGTGGCCACACGTGACGGCCCAGAGGACAACAGGCACTTCGGAAATGGCCCTAAACCACAGGGTGCCACGGCCTACAGACTGTCACTCCGTGCCGCACAGGACAGGTGAGGACTGTGGGGAGCCCCGTTTCTCTGAACGGGTCAGAGGAAAAGGCCGCTGGGGCCTTTGCCGAGACAGGAAGGCAGAGGCCCCTGAGGAGCGGGGTGCCCTGGGGGAGGGCCGAGGAGCCAGCACGGGCAGGGAAAGGTGTGGGTGGGGTCTAGGAAACGGGGCACGTCCCTTTCACCTGCTGCCATGCAACGTGGCATCTGGGGCTGTCCCTGGGGTCGGAGGCCTGGGCCGACGCCACCACCCAGGACGCCACCCCCGCGGACGCAGCACTGGCCTCTGCCCGAGCCACCGGCAGCGCGGCTGCTCACCTCTCAGAGACGGTGCCGATTCCAGAAAGCAATTCCTTAATCTTTTGGCCAGTATCAGCCATAGCGGCTCTGGTGGGGCACGGCATCTCAGAGCGCAGGTCCAGGCTGCAGGTCATCAGGCGGCCCCTGGTGGACAGGGCCAGGAGCCTGGCACCACCTGAAGATGCACACCCATGGGGCCCGGTCAACGGGCGGGGAGGGGCAAGCTGCTGGAGGCACAGGGCAGAGGTCGTCGGCAGGCCCGCACCCAGGTGAGAAAGAGCGGGTCCCGGAGACGGAGCTGTGGAGCCCCGGACGCGCACCAGGGCCCAGGCAGAGTCCCTGCCCACGTCCATCTCATCACACGTTCTGAAGGGCCCTCCTGGGGGAGAATGCTGGCACACAGAGCAGCTTAGAGCCATGTGGGGAAGGGGTCTAAACGGGGCCAAGCAAGGACCCATGTGGGCCCCTGAATCAGCCAGGTGCAGCTGGACCTTCGACGGGCCCCTGTGGTCTGCAGAGAAGAGCTCTACACTCACCAGGCCTTTCCAGAAGCCTGGGGGCTCTCTAGCATCTTCTGTCCCCTTCCCTCCCCTGGGCTCCACCTCCTGCAACTGTCTGCTTGTCTCCCACGCCCACTGCCACTGAGGCCCCAAGCCCCAGGCCGAGGTGGGGCAGCCGAAGAGCGAGGCACGGAGCATGCACAGGCCGGGCTGCAGCCTGGCACCGCCGTACTCGCGGCCGTCCTTCCCTGCGGCACAGACACTGGCCTTGTCCCCTCGGAGCGCTTCCTCCGCGATGAGTACCGCCCCGTGGGCCATCTCCTGGAGAACGTGTGCCGGGGGAGGGTGGCTCTGTCCTTGCCCCACAGCCCTGGGCAAACACAGCTACCACCTTCCCCGGTGCCGTCCTGGGAAGCCACACCCAGCGCGCAGCTCCGGCGCAGAGGGGCCCAGGGGGCAGGCCGCGGGGGAAGCGGGGCAAGCGTTCCCTAGCCTTCAGAAACACGCCAGGGCTTGGCCGGAACCCACCTGAATCTCCCGGGACTCCCCACCACGGAAGACCTGTCTTGGAGAGATGCCCTTGCCCTGCGCCGCCCAGGGGCAGCCCCCGCCCCTACCCACATGGGACACACACCATCAGGCACCCCCGGACCCCGAGACAAGTGCCAGCCTACAGCAGCTGGGGAGAAGCCTGCCCGTCAGGTTTGCCAAAGACGGGAACATAGCAGGGAGACGAGCATGGGCCGGTTCACAGCTGGGAAGACAGCCCCACGGAAAGTCCCACCCCCACCACGACACGCTGGGGCACCTCCGGTTTGAATGGCAGCTTGTACCTTCGGGCACCTCGGAGGACACAGAGAGGGTGACGACGCTGCAGATGCCTAAACCAGCTGGACACAGCAGAGACGGCAGGCCTCCCGGGCCCCCCTCGGGGGCATGTCCCCGAGCCAGGTCCACGACACAGAGCTCCAAGGGGGTGCTATGGTACACACGGCCCCCCCCGCCACAGGCCGCACAGAGCACAGGCCCCGGCAGCCGGTACTCCTGCAGCTCTGGCACCAGAGTCCCTGCCTTGTCCCAGCTGGCCTTGATGGCCAGGATCCGGCCACCGTGACCAAGTGCCACTAGGCAGTCAGGGTGTGTGTCCTCCGCGTCCTCGGGCAACGACTCTGTCTTCAAGGCCCCAATGAGAATGACGGGTTCCTCCAGGTGATGGAGGATCTTGACAAGGGCCTTCGGGTCGCCTGGGGACAACCTTGAGGTGACCAGGGTCTTCAAGACCACACAGCAGAGCTGGCCATCGGGGAGACCACAGAGGATCACTGGTGATTCTAGAAGGGAGGCATCAACTCCAAAGAGTAGCCCAAAGAGGGCCTGTTCCAGCGAGAAGCCCCTGGAGCCCCGCGTAGGGGTCTGCAGAGCACTGCGGCCCGGAGGAGACGCACAGCAGAGCACTGGGAGGATGCGGGGGGCTGCGGGCTCCCCGGGGGCCCCAGCCACGGGGCTGGAGGTGGACAACTCCACCTCGCCAATGTGGCCTCTGGGTCTGGCGCCCTCCCCTGGACAGGGGCACTCAGACAGCTGTACCTTCCACCGGGCAGGGCCCTGTGCCAGGGTGACAAGCATGTCATCGACCACAGTGAAAGCGCACAGAGTGTCATCCGGGAGCAGGCAGGCATCTGGGTGCACGGGGATCACAGCGCAAGGGGGCTCGCTGTCCTCACTGTCCTCGCTGTCCCTGTCATCCCCATCACCTCGGTTCACAGACCTTCAAGAACCAAGCAGCGGTGGGTCAGAGCATGCATAAGCTCTCTTCCCAGCGATGCGCCGCTGAGCACACTGGGCCTGGGGTCTTCCCAGGGAGTGACCTCGGTGCCCATTACGGGTGGGAAGGCCCACCCGGGGGCAGATGGCCTGTCACATGACCTCTCATCGGCCCGCAGACTGCTGTCATCAGCACCAGTCACCCCGGGACACACACACACAGCAGGATGTACCCAGGCTTCCAGGAACGGGCTCAGGAGGAAAACCCTCCTCAGTGCAGAACTGTAAGACCCCCGAAGTCTAGCCTGTGAATCCCACCCCCTACCTTCCTAAGTCCTGAGCCAGTAGGGAGCGTGGGCCCGTGTCTAGCCTCTGCCCTGGAGCATCGGGAGGGGCCCAGCTCCTCAACATCGGCCCCCTTGACCGCCTCAGGGTCCAGGGTGCTTTGCCGTGACGGCTAACTGCAGAGACCCGCCTAAAAGGTGTGCCACGCCAGCGGGGACAGGGTCCTGCCGCAGGCTGCACACTCTGCAGCCTGAGCCCCATTTACTAAGGATGCTCCTTGGGCAGGAGCCTGCTGCACATGCTGGGGGCTGGGGACACCCCAGACTTCAGAGCTGGGCCCTGAGCCCACCAGCCCTCCAGGGCCCCCAGGGGAGGGCTGGTGCGTGCTCCCTGTGACCCTGATGCAGGCCCCGCTGCGCGTCTCGGTCGCACAGGGGCAGTGTTTGAGGAGGCAGGGTGGGGTGGCCGGGGCCAATGAGGAGTGCCCCGGAGGCCGAGGCAGCCTCCCCCACGCGTTGCTGCCCGCTGTCCCCGTCACCTGCTCGCCTGGTCCAACGACAAGCAGTAGATGCCTTTCTGGGCGCACAGGACGTAGAGCAGCCTGCCGAGGGCCCGGAGCTCCAGGTGCCACACCGGGCCCGGGAACCTGTACACGGCCTGGACATCGGGGACAAGACAGCGTCAGGCCAGCCGCGTGAAGGACGGAGGGGAGGCAGAGCACGGCACCCAGTCCTTAAACGAGCTCCTCCCAAAGAACCAGGGCGCCCCTCAAGTCTCCTCGCCCCGACCCCCGACCGGGGTGGTCTGTCCCCCGTCCCCCCGCCCCCCGGGGCTCCAGGGGCCCGACCCCTCCCCGCCCGCTTCTCCTTCCCGGGGGCCCCCGCCCGGGGCTCACGGTCAGCAGCCGCCCCTCCTGGTCGTAGACGTAGACGAGCTCGCTCCCGGTGGACACGAAGATCTCGGCCCCGTGGCACAGCACGCGGGGCTTGCCCGCCGCCAGGCCCCCGAGCGGGCAGCGGAAGCGCTCCAGGTACTCGACCCGCGGCCCGAAAGCGGCCATCGTGTGGGCCGGCGGCGCGCGGAAGCAGCTCCGTCTGGGGGCGGGGGCGCGGGGCGCGGGGCGCGGGGCGCGGGCGGGGGCGCTTTACGGCTGCCCACGTCGCGGCGCGACCTCCGCCGTAAAGCTGCCCGGGCGGGGGCGGGGCGGGGCCGGGCCGGCTCGCGGGCTCCGCGGCGTCGGGGGTGGCGTCCCGCTCGGAGCCCCGGCTGGCGGGCTGGCGGGGGCGCGCGCCCCTGCGAGCGAGCAGGCAGGTGGACCCGGCGGTTTGCCAGACAGCCAACGTGTTTGAGGCCAAACGCGGGACACCCCAGAGCCTGCGCTCGCGGACCCGGTCCGCCCGGGGGTGGGGGAACCTCGCGGCCTGCAGCCCCTCGCACGCACGTGCGGGGCCCCGGGGCCCCGGTGGTTGGGCCCGAAGTCGCGTCGCGCCTCCCTCTGCGCCCTGGAGCCGGGCCGACTCCGGGACCCTGCCAGGACGCGGGCTCCCTCGGGCCGGAGCCGGGGAGCCGGGGCCAGCCGAACGCCGCCTCCTCGGGGCAGGCGGCCCACTCCTAAAGCGATTTTGGGGGGTTTCGGGGAGCGGTTGGATTTCACGGGGGCTGGGTGCGCGATGCCCGCCCCACCCCCAGCGTTTGAGGTGCCCCTCCCTCCACACCGGGCCACAAGCTGTTCGTGGGTGCGTTGGTTTGGACGATGGGTCACCAGCAATCAGTCTGGGGTGAGGGTGAAGCGAGACACCTCCCCTCCCACCACCCTGGCGGCTCCCCCTCATATTCCACAGGGCTTTGCAGAGAGGTGCTGACCAGAGAGGGGCCAAGAGCTCTCTTCTGGATGAGTCAGGAGACCCAGAGCATCCCTGAAGGGTGTCTGTGGATGGAGAGGTCAAGTACATCGCATTCCTTTAAGGCCAGACACTCATGAGCGAAAGAGGCGTCTGTGGGGGCGTGTGACCAAGCACAGCACGCTGCCAAACGTCCCCTGGGCTTGGACGTGAAGCTGACCGACCTCACGGAGGCTGGCACGTCTGTGTGTCAGGACTCAGAGCCGGGACAAGTTCAGACCCCTCTTGTAGAGGTTGAGGTGGGCACTCAGCCCCCAGGACAGTGGGCAGCCCGTGTCTGGGTTGAACTCCATGTGAACTTGGCATCTGCAGTCCATCGTTTGCCCCTTTTGCTCCCAGCTGAAGTCTGGGCTGGAAACATCGTCCGGGATGAGGAAGACTGACTCCCACTAGGCCTTCCTAATTGGGAAGTGAGGGCAGGCTCCTCTCCTAGGAGAGGGCACAAGTCTTCTGGGCCAGTCTTGACTCCCATTCCCTGTGAACTGCCCCCCCCCCCCCCCCCCGGAGGACTGTCCTGCAGAAAATGAGCACCTGGGGAAGTGGATCTGGAAGGGGGTGGGTTGAGCCAGGCAGGCCTCTCCCCTACCCCCCATCCCCCCTCCACCCGGGTTTAGCCCTTGGCTGGCCAGGATGCCCCTGCAGACATTGTTAGGTTGGATCCCTACTCCCTTTGCTGTGATGTAAGGATTTATGATCACCAGTCTATCTAAACAAAGACAAGGGCCCTGAGTGCTGACCCCTGGTTGACAGACACCCACAAAAGGGCTGAAGGTCAGCTCGGACAGCAGCGGGGTGAGCGGAGTAAGGCAGCCGCCCACGTGGGTGTGCAAGGTGTGCACTCCAGTCAGTGCTCTTTATGCCAGATCTGCGGGCAGTGTGATCTTCCCAAGGTCAAATGACACCACCAGCCTGGGGAGAAGCCACGTGTGTGCAGGGCAGTTGCGGGCTACGCTGGGCACTCCTCACAGGCAGCACACCCCCTTCACGTGGTTTCCCGAGGTGGGAAGTCCAGCAAGTCCAGCTGTCTGAGATGCACCAAGGGCCAGATATGACAGTCACCCCAACTTGGGGACTATGGTTGGTAGCATGCACCACACCCCTGCTGAGAAAAGCCAGGCCCGGGGGTAGGACTAGAGGCACCCAGGGCCCCTTACATCGGCAGGTGCTGTTGTCTCTACTTGTCCAGGGAGCAATGCGTCCCGAGGCCAAAGGACAGGGTGGTACCCGAACACCAAGAGTAATTCAGGACAGGCACCACGTCCCCTCCAGGCCTCACACCTCCAGGCACCAGTACAGTTGGGGCTTCTGGACTGCATCCCTCACCTGCTGTCGGCTGCAAGCACCTGCCTCCCCCAACCCCCACCAGGCCCAGAAGCAGCCACATGGCTGACAGGCAGGAAAGCACCCAGGAGAGGCCACGCTCTCCTCCCAGCCCGATGACACGCTGGGGTCCATCAGCGAGGACAGTGACATGTGGAGAAAAGTGAAGTCCCACAACACAAAGCGACTCGGGAGGCGGCCTGCAGACACACACTCGGCGCAGGGAAGGCCTCAGGGCCCAGGAACAACAACTGGGAGCTCAGCGGTCGCTTCAGGACTTTTATTGGCTTCACGGCGGGACCCGAGTCCAGGTAACGCTAATGCAAACCCAGCTGACGCACCTGCTGGAGCGGCAGCACCAGGAGCAGACTGTCAGAGGCCAAGGCCGCCGGCTGTGTGCACCTGGACAGCTGAGCAGTCACCCCGCGCCCAGTGGCCAGAGGGTGCGTCCACACGAGGGCGAGCAGGATGCAGGTGGGGCTGGGGGACCCCTCCCTCCCTTGGGCAGGAGGAGGTGGCTGAGCTGCCCATGGCCAAGGCCTCTGGCAGGGTGCCCCCACACCCTCACGCTGAGCTCGGGGTCTGTTTATTTGGACAATAAAATAAAGTGCGTTTACTGAACAAAGAGTGACTCAAAACCAGAAGCAGAGAAATCAAAACGCTCTTCCTTTAGCTAAAAGATGAAAGGAAATGAATTCTGCATCTGCCAGAACTTCAGAGTGAGGAGAATGTTGGCTGAAGAGAGACGGGAGCCAGCTTGGTGGGTGAAGGCGACACAAGGAGAATGGGGGGTTGGGGGGGCCTGGGGGACACAGAGGGGGAGCTCAGGGCCCAGGGCCACCGGGCCCCTCTGCAGCCTCACACTGGATCGCAGGGACCACACGACACGGGGCCCGTCGTGGAGAGCCCCTCAGCAGGCGGCTGGGAGCTGAGCTTGAGCTGGGACAGCCGCCACACCCTGGCGGGAGTCTGCGCTCCGCGCCTCTCCTGCCCACCCCCCTCCCCCAACAACCGATGGCTCTGCTGAAGCCAGACCCAACCTCATCGGCCCCTGGCCCCCAGAGGAGACGAGACACCAGGTGGACCTGCAGGTGCCAGGCACAGCCCTGCCGCGAGAAGCCAACATGCAGAGAACAGAGTTCTCTGTCCACAGTGCCATGGGTTAAGGTAGGGTCACAGAGGCCTCCCCCCACCCCCAGGGCAGAGACATGAAGTCCCCAGCACAGTCCACGTCTGGGTCAGCCTCTCCCATGGGTGCCATGCAGCTCAGAGACATGGCCCTCATTAAGGCAAAGAGGCATCAGGGTGCCGCCCACAACTCCCTGGGGACCCCAGAGCACACGTGCAAGGCCTGATCATGACCTCTGTCCTGGGACCCCCACAGCAGTCCAGTCACCCGACAACAGACCAAGCCCCTACTCTCTCACTCGGGCCTGTTGCAGTGGCTCTTCACCGTGCAGGAGGCCCGGGGCTGGGCGGGGCAATGGGAGAATGGTGCACAGGGCAAAAGGGGCTAGAGCTTCGGGTCCCGGGCGACCCAGCTCACCCCAGGCAGGCCTGGCCCATCTGGAGGCGCCGATGCGTGGACCACCAAGTCTGCAGCTGCGGCTGCTGTGTGGCTTGGCAGGAAAGTCTCAGGCACTGAGGTTTACTTCCAAGAAGAACTGACTGTGGGTCCCCGTCCACCCTGCCCCCACGCCCAGGGACTCACTATGGGAAGGAAGAAGTGGGAACTAGTCTCTCACTCCCCTTTTATGTAGTTTTTATCTTAAAAAGAAATAAATAAAAGTCTTCTGGGCAGAAATTACTGATAACTGTTATTACAACCAACGCAGACTTTAAAAACCCCACCTGGATGTCAGGTGAGCGCAAGGAGGAGGGCGGGCAGCAAATTAACCTGCAGGTCAGGCAGAAGGGAGACCAGTAGCCCTGGGCCCACTCATGTTTCCACAAGACAACGGCCGCCGGCAGGGGAAGAAATGGCCCTCACAGGCAGGGTCAGCCCAGAGCAACAGTGCACAGAGGTCACCAAACACTCCCCACGGGAACCACGGGAGGGGCAAAAACAAAAAGCATCCAAAAGAAAGGGAAGAGAAAGCTGGATGGCGGCAGTAAGCCCTCCCCACCCCTCCCAGCCCCAGGTGATGGTTCCGAGGTGCCCAGGTCCTTCCACCACCTCGGAGGCTGGTACGGGGCGTCCAGGCGGGCCATCGTGCCGCTCCGCTAGAAGGCTGGTGTCAGCCCGCAGAGCACCAGCCCAGCTCTCCCTCCAGGGATGCCGGTGCTGAGAAGCTTTGTGGGTCAGAGACCCGAGGGCAGCCACCCTGCCCTGCCCCCTTCAGGGCTGCCCACCATGGGGCAATGGTTACAATGATCCCGGCTTCAGAAAGGGCTGGGGTGGGCCCAGTCCTGCCAGCAGGGGCCGGGAGCCCTAGGTCCTAGGGAGGCTACACATCTCGCAGTGGCCGGTGCCTGGCTGGTTCATGAAGGTGCAGTGCTGACAGGCCCACATGGCGGCCGCGGCAGCGTGCGTGGAGCCCCCGACGGCTCCGTACTCGTGGAGGCCCGGAAGCTGCACTCCGACGGTGCCTGCAGGGTGGGAAGAGAAGCTGTTTGTCGCTGCTCAAGGCCTCTGCCACGCCCCCCTCCCCGAGGGCTCTACCTTGCTGCGCGGACGGACAGGCTCTAGGACCTCAGAGAACCCACCGCACAGAGCTGCTGTCCACAGAACTGCAAGCTGTCAACCGCGGCCGGCTCGGCCCCACCGCCAGCTCAACCCCACCGCCACCCTCCCGGCTTGCTGGGCGGAGCGAGGCTTCTCCGCGAGAGCACCACCTCTGGCTACCCATGTGGGTCGCTGACTGTCCTGGGCCATCACCAGCAGGGCTGCGGCGCATACTCTCACACACAGCTCCATGTGGACCTGTGTTCCGTGTCCCGGGG